ATTTTATCTTTATTAATCTTTTTTTTTTTTTTTTTTTTTTTTTTTAAAAAAATCAATTATAAAATATTTAAGTAATAAATAATTTTGCAATAATTACTTTGCATAAAAATTTTTATTTTTTGTAATTTTTATAATATAATTATTGTCTTTTTTAACTTAATCGTTATTTTTGATTCATTTACTCTACGAATTTAAGCATTTATGTATATATATGTATAATTTGAAATGAAATTTTTTTTTGTTAAAAAAAAAAGATAAGAAGTGAAAAAATAATTGATGTTTTCAAGAGATTCAAGAAATATTTTTTTTTTTTTTTTTGAAAAATTAATAATAATTAATAATAAGGAATGGTAACAAAAGTAAAATGTCACCAAAATCACCAAAATGACTAGCATACTATTTTATGCTTTAAAATTTTCAAAAATATAATTCAATTCTTTTTTTTTTTTTTTTTTTAATAGTACTTTTTCAAAATTATTAGTTATATCAGATAAAATAGCACGATAGCAAGCAAGAAGAAGAAAAAAGAGAAAGTCTATTTGAATTTTTTTTTATTTTATTGAATGAGGTCTGCTTCTAAAATGGAATGGTTATATTATACTTTAATGTAATTTTTTTTTTTTTTTTTTTTTTTTTTTTTGCAATTATAATTTTATTTTTTATTCATTTCTTTTTTTCATAAGCAATACAAAAGAATATTTAAATTTCCTAAAAATTATTTTTTTTTCGTACTTTTTTTTTTTCTTCTTTGTAAACTTAAGGAATGTTTTTGATAAAAGGGAACAAACAAAGGAAGTAAATTATGCGTGGATGGAATTAAAATAAAAGTTGGAAATGAATTAAATTATAATTTCATTTTAATATTCATAAAAAAAAAACATGGTCATCAAATATGACACAAACGGTTATTTTATTGAAAATAATTTATGAAATTTTATTATTTATTATAAGATTAACATATTCAGTGATAATTGTTAGAATTGAATGGAGATAAAAGCAAATACCACAAATTTATTGTAAAGAATGGATTTTAATAAAATAAAATTTTTTAAAGTAAAAAAAAAGATTGAAACTTTTTAGATTAATTAAAAAAATCAATTTATGATTTCTTCTTTTTCAAATCTTTAATTTTGTTTTTTAGGTACTATTAGATGATTTTTTTTCCTTTTTTTTTTTTGTATTTTGAATTGAAATCTAAATTGCTAAAAATAAATCGATGAGAACTTAGAACTTACTATATAAGCATATTCATTCAATGTTGCTATGTAATTATAATTTTAGCTACCATTTTTAGCTCTTTTTTTTTTTTTTTTCAATTTTTATATTTTAGCCTTTTTCCTTCTCTAACTTTTTTTTTTTTGCGCTAATTATAGCTTAAAATTAAATTGCAAAAAAATTTCAAAAAATAATTACAAGTACTAATCAATATGATAAGAATGATTAGATTGCTTTGACTTACGTAAGTAATTTATGTAAACCAATGAACATATTAATTTCGCAAAGATATTTGTCATTGTTTTATAGGTCATCATTTGTTTATTTTGGGTTTATAATAGCAATTTGTTTTAATTAAAGTCAAAACAAATTGTCAAAAAAAGAAATTTATTGAGTTAAGTTTCTATTTTATAAACCAAATATGCATTGCGTTAAAAATTAATACTAAATGTTGTCATTAACATATTTATGAATTAGTTGGCTTACTTTATTTTTAATAAATTAAGCTGAAATTTTTTTTTTTTTTTTGTTTTCGTTAATATACAATTTTAAAAAAAATTTAAAAACAACAGTGCTCAGAGTAAATGATAAAGCTTAAAGATTCTCTCTCTCCCTCTCTCTCTCTCTGTGTATGTGTGTATGTATGTATGTGTGTATGTGTGTATGTGTACGCATGTATGTATGTGCAACAACTAATATTCAATATTTTATTTCATTTCAAAATTGAGCAGCAAATTTGGGAAGTTTGAATAAAATGAACATAGCTTATGCAGTAATTCAAGTTTATAAAAAAGTAATAATTGTTTATGAACTCAAAAGAATATGCAAATATTTTAATTATAAATTTTTGTCTTTTACTGTCACCTTTATTTCATCGCCAAATTATCATTAATAAAGTTTGTTATGAGCGACGAATTAGAAAAAAGGAAAAAAAAAAATGAATTAGTTTTGAAAGCTTTTTAGATTAACACAAAGACTAAATTAAATGTAATAAAGTATAATAATGCATATTAACTATTAAGAAAGTAAAGTTATTATCGAATAGAAAGTATAAATGATTATTTAATTTGAAACTAATTTACATATTAGTAAAAGAAAGAAAATTAGTTATGAGAAATGAAATAAAGAAATTTGCTCATTTCTCATTACTTTCCGTCTTTTGCATTCAATTGCTGTAAATAATTTCAATAATAAAAACTTTCTCAATTAAGCATTTGAAATTTTTTTTTTTTCATTCTTTAAAAACTTTGAAAAAAAAAAAAAAAATTCTCATTATGAACAGAAATAAATGTATAAGATGTTTGCAATTTTTAGCACTTTTTAATAATGATAAATATTATTGTTGTTCATTTATTGCTTGTGATATTATCATGTTATTATCATTATCGATAATGATAATAACATATGAATAATAGTGTACTTGAGTACTTAAATTCATCCTAATCATACTAAAAAAAAAAAGAAAGTTAACTCATAAAAACAGTTTTGTGTAAGATAATTATTAAATAATATATGCATAAAATTTAATGCAAAAACTTTTTGATAATTCATTTAATAAAAATTGAATACATTATCCTACAAATAAATTTTAAATATGATTGCATTGATAAGATTTAAGTGATAAGTAACAATGATTAAATTGCTAATAGTCAGAAATACTTATTAAAGTTTTTGTTTCCAGTTAATATTACATTTATGAAATTTCATCTAGCGATCAATAATTTATGATATTAACTGATCAAAAAAGAGAAAAAAAAAACACTTCTACATCCAACAAATGTTAAACTATTACATTTAATTTCACATCAAATCTTTACCAATATTAATCCAGAAATATTTTGTTAATAATTTAAATTAAGAATTGGAACTTTAAAAGATGATAGCAATAAAACTGTGCTAGTTTAGCTCTATGAATTTATGGTTCAGCTTTAATTAAATAGAAACAAGTCCTACAGTATTCTGTGACTTTAATCCTACTAAATCCAATTTTAATCTAAATTCAATTTTAATCCAATTTATATTAAAAACATAATTACATTCCGATCATATCATATCATATCCTGTGCTATCTGTGCAATCTATTCATCAATTATTTATGAGTTAAATATTTTTATCTGAAAGTTTAATTACCTCCGAATTTTGCTGTAATTAATGAAATTAGAATTTCAATTTTGCTATTGATATTTATTGAAATTTGCGATTTCACACCTGTCATACATTTATTTTCTCCTTAAAAGGCATTCAAAATATTATTTTCCAATAATTCATTCATTTGAGCTAAACTTTTTCATTTAGTTATACGTAGAAAAAAAGGAGAGAGAGAGACAGAGAGAGAGAGAGAGGGAGGGACAGAGGAAGAGACAGGGAAAGACATATAAATATAAAATTTTTTATCACATAGTATCATATGATATTTATGAAAAATAATCCATGAAAAAACACACACACACACACACACATACATACACACATACATACATACAGGTGTACACAACATACTACATACATACAAACATACACACATACATACATAAATATAAATACACCGAGTAGGATATTCACAAAGTTAACACTTACGTATGGAATATACATATTACGCATAAATATCAATACGTGTACTTGGATAATGATACGTATACATATCCATATTATATATACATTTGTATATGTGCACATTTTATAACATAGTATGAAGGAACATTTACGTTTGAATAATTTCGGTAAAATGAATAAATATGATAAGAAAACAAATAATTCTTAAAAAAAATTTTTTTATTGAAAAATTACAGATGAAATATGCTATAAAAGATCTAGCAAATAGTTTTGAATAAAGTAATAAAATGAAAGATTATCATTTAATGCAATAAATTCTTTCAAAAGGCACAAAGGAAATATCCAAATGGTACCTTTCTATCAATTACATTCTCATCGAAAGATATTTCGTTATATCAATATCATTACAAACAATATATTAGCATGAATTAATCACCGTATTTGTATTCTTTCTATCGTCGTATCGCTATCATTTCTTACTCTTAATCTTGAATATATTATTTCAAAGAAAATATATATTCGAAAATAGTGAAATAAACAAATATAAATAAGGACAGTTAAGGAATTAAGCAGCACACTCCTGCTAGAATATCTCTATAAATTATTTCTGCTCTTTTTAAAAATTAAGGTGATTCAGAAAATATTTTAAAAGAAAAGGATAATCATCAAAAATATTCCATAATTTATGCTCCACCGGTTCATCTATCTCTTGCTACAATATCTTTATAAATCACAGCAACCGATGATAAACGAGACAGAATAGCAGAAAAGTATAGTGCTAAAAGAAATCACCTCTATAATTAACTATCAATTTGTTAAAACTTAAATTACTGGGATAAATTAAACACAGAAATGTTTGAAATGAAAAATTTGAAAAAAAAAAAAAAACTAGAAAGCACAAAGAGAGAAAAAAAAAAAAATAACCAGAATGATCATTTCTCTTCTTAAAAATCACCAAATTCTACTCCTACGATATTGATTGGTATTAATGATATTAGCATAAATGCACGGCAAATCTTTTTTGTAATGTTGGCAATATGCTCTACCTGTTTTGATCCCTTATTATCAAAGTTACTCTCTTAAAATTTCATTTTAATTTCCAGAATATTTGAAAAAAAAAAAGTTAAAAAACATGAGATCCATGAAAAACTTGCAGAAAAACACATGGCAAAACGTAAATTAATGCCTGCACACTACCAATACGACTAGAGTGATGCAATAGCTTTCATGAATTATGTTCTTCCTCCTTTTTGCCTTAATGAATCTGAATTTCCCGTGTTTTGAATATCTCTGCCATACATATCTCGAAGATCTTTACCACGAGATGATGCAATATATTTTCTGAAACAATTCCATATTAACAAAAGATACTTTTTTTCTCAAATTTTTTACAATTTTAACAAATTTACATAGTTTCTTATCAATTGATTGATTTATCAATGAATATAAAACAATTAACCATAAAAAAAAAAAAAAGAAAAATCACTTTCGATGGTGCTGTATAAGCATATCTCTTTTTCGCAAAAAAATGTCGCGATATTCTACCGAATAAGAGTTAAAAGAAGAGCTTGATGGGGTCAGAATTTCTTCATGTTCACCCAGTGATTCCGTTGAGGAGTTAGATGATGACGTATCCACGGCATTATAGATTTCCTCATCGGAATCCTAAATAAACAAGCAGTAAGTATCGATTTACATTTTTATTAGAATATCATACAACTTGAATCCTAAAAAAATTTACCAGTGCAATATCTTGCTGTCGAAATCGACCATCGAGAATATTTTCCACAGTTGCCTGTACCGAACCACTTTCACGTAAGTCTTCTAAAACTGAAGCTACTTCGAGATGTGGAAACATTTCTCGAACTTGTTCAGCCAAAGAATTCAACTGTGAATTAGCTGCATCTCCAAATCTGAAATATTGAAATGTAGATGAAATCCAGATTTTTTTATTATTAATGCGATGCCAAAACAGATTTTTCTTTTCGTAATTACATCTGAAATATCAAAAAGTTTTTAATGCCAATTTACTGTGTTGACAAACAGCGATTTTGATGCTGTTGCAAGCAAAGTATTAACTTAAATAATTTGGTATTAAATTTATAATACTTTTAAATATTTATAATATTTAACATATTCCTTTTTTGTTTTCACATTGCCAGTGAAATCATTGTAGCTCAAAAAACAATTATTATTTTGGAACAATTGGAAGCTTTTTTTTTTCTTTACAATGAAATTAAAATGTAAAAAATAACCTGTTACGCTGAAAGAAATTAGGTGTAACATTATGTGACAATTCAACAGAAAATGATGGTAACCAACGTGCATAACGAGTACCATCAAAATGAAAGACATGACTAAAAGGCTGCACTACTGGAGCTCTTGACCATTCTCGTGATCCTTGTGTAACTGCTGAATTACTCAAAGATGGAAGTGTTAATCGACAAGTTGGACACGAATTATCTTGTTCTAACCAACTTCGTAAACACCTGAAAGAAAGTGAATTTATCTAGAAATGACATCCGATTAAGCTACAAAAATCTCATATTCACTAGTTTATCCCAGTCTGCATTCAAAAATGGCTGATAAATAAATATAAGTATAGCTCCGTTGTTTTCAGTTGAGCATAGCTTATCATAAAATGCTTAAGATATAAAATGGAGCTAATTTATAAAAATGAATAACTTAAAGTAATCGAAATGATTTAAATACAGAGAAGTTTTGTCAAAGTTTTTATTTTTTCCATTTCTCTCCTCAAAAAAAGATATTTCTGACCCTAAGATTTAAATTTTCATTAAAAAACTGGTAAAACTTTCTAAAACTTCTCTGAGATTCTTCGAATCAAATGTTAATTTATTTATTTTTGGAAACAAAAGTAATTGCGATATGAATACCATTCATGAAAGAAATGGTTGCATGGAAGTTTTCGAGCACTATCCATTTGCTCCCAACATACTGCACACCAATCTTTCAAATTATTCAATTCAATCCGTGTTGCTTTTTGATAACTAAAAAAGCATTAAAAAATTTAATCCATGATCAAAAATTTTTCAATCAAAAGATTTCCTCAATTAATATAAAGAGTTAAACAGAAACTAATAAAATAATCCTGGAACAAATACGGATCAAAATTATGTTTAAAAAAAAACATTACAATTGAAAAGAACAAAAACAAATAAAAAAGAAACTTACTGAGCATCGATATATTTACAAATACGCTTATATTTAATATGACGCTCGATGCGTGCAATAAATGATTTATAAAATGATCGTAATTGCATGGAAATTACAATGCATGCCATGCTCAGTACAACTTGCGAATACAGCTGCAATTCAAAACTTAGTTTCATTAATATGTGATGGTGAAAAAAAAAAAAAGAAAAACATCTGCAACATTAAACTTTTAAAGATATATTAACTTGGAACAACTTATGTAGGGAAAACTTCGGAAAATGGAGATAGAATAAGCTGCGCAATGTTATATATATTTCAACATTTTAAAATAATTAAAGAGGAAAATACTTTTTAATGGAAGTAAGAGATAAGATGAATTAATTATATTATATCTTAGAAATTTGTTGATATAATACAACTTTTGCAAGAAAAATGGGACTTCATAAAGTGGAGATAATTGTGTAAAAAAGTGAAAATAAGAAGACGTACCAGCATATGCGTGTAATGCAATAAATCGATGAAATCAATAGCAAGATCGTGTACAAATTCCAGATAGTATGTTAAAGTTGTAAGATTGATAGATGATAAATAGACCGAAACAATGTCGAGTAGGAGAGCACATTTAGATATTACATAGATACTTCTTAATAATGATTTAAGAGCCTAGAAATAATGATTAACGAAAGCATTCGATCTTTACTTTAAGATACTGTTTTATTGCTATATTTAACTAGCAAATTTGATATGAAATAAAGTAAATGCCTAAGTAATTATAGAAAATGTAGTTCACAATGTAAGAGATGGAAGCAATATTAAAGCAATCCAAAGGAATGCAAATAATCTTTTAAATTTGAAAGTACCAACTTACATCAGCAAGAATAAACAAGGCGATGCTGATTGAAAATAAACGAAAAGCAGCGAAAGCAAATGAAACAAATGCAAATGATATCAACAGTAAAATAATAGCCAATCCCATAATACGAAATAAAACTCTTCTTGGAGGTATTGAAGAAATTAACTATAATAGATTTAAAGCTAAAATAGAATAAAAAAGATTTAAACGATCATTTTCCGAAAAGAATAGTATATTGTTAGCTTTTGATAAATTTCAATTCTGTTTTTTTTTTCTTACTTACAAAGATTTAAACAATCCTGCACACTTTTCGTTGTCTCAAATTGCTTAAAACTTTTTCTTCAAGATGTAAAGAATCTTACATATTTTAACTTATAGGCGATAATACTTTGTAAAGCAGCTACTGATGCAAGTAATGCAAACCACAAAACCCATGCAATAACTTCTTCGTGAACAACACTATTCAAAACACCAAATAAAAATACCGCCTTGTAAAGGAAAAAATTACACAGTCGATCGCGTAAAAGTCCTGATTCCTAAAAATGAAAATAATCATTTAATATTATTTTAATACTACCAAAATCTCTTGTATTTTCAATATATCGATATCATACTCAAATATGATCATAAACTAGACATAATCAGCAAACTGATCATCTATCATGAGTTTCCTACCCAATAGAAAATATGAATTTCACCAATATGATAAATGTTGTTTTTGAGATTAAATAAATGATTATTCACGGAGTAACAAACCAACAAAAGCAAAGCAAACAAATATACCTGAACACCCAGCTTACCGATTGTCGCATACGTTGCTAACTTGGCAATTAATGCTAAAACTGCACAAAACATATTGATAAAAACCTGAAAAAGAATTACTTTAATGAAATATAGCTAAGGATCAAACACTTCCTGTTAATATTTACTTCCTATTAATACTTAATTCCATCTTAAAAAACAATTCGAAATCGCAATTTTTCTTAGAAATTTTTTCTTTGCTCCTTTTTTTTTCGAAGCAACTTTATACATATCAGCTCCTCATTCTATTTCTGGAAGAAAAATTTATTCGTCATCATGAAGATCACATTGTCAATAAAGATCTGACGTAGATGGAATCAGAACAGAAACCCTTTCAACTTTTTAATATAGAATTTTCCATATAAGCAATTGCTAAAATTTAGAAAAATGTCAGCAAAATGATACATAATAGCTGATGAAAATTATTGCAGTAAAAATCTATTATGTTTCTATTATATTCCATGTAAGGCATTAAAAAAAAGAAACACTCCTTTTAATTTCGAGAATGATCGATAGGGTACGTTTTCTTTTTCTTTGCAGAATGACAAATAGGATATTTGATGGCTAAACTATTGCTTATAAGTCATTTAATAGAAAAGGATACGACCAAGTAAGACAAAACAAAGAGTATAATTGATGAAATTAAAAAGTAAAGTTTATGAAGAACTAATTTACCCATCCAAAAGTAGGATGAAGTAATAGGTAGTAAAACTGTTGAAGATGTCCAGGTATTATTAAAGCACTTGTTGGATCGGTCTTCCGAAACGTTTCATTGATACCTCTCAATCGACTCTCGATCTGAAAATGAAAAATGTATAACACACTAAAAATAAGAAATTTGAAATATGTTTTTTTTTTTTTTTTTTCTTTTTAAATGAAAAAAAGGAACAATAACTGAAACTTTAAGTTTATTTAATCACATCAAACTATTTCTATAAATTTGCACCAAATTTATGCAAATTAAATAGTTCCATGCTGGTTTAAAAACATCATTTTTTTTTCTCAATTTCAAAGAAATTAGTTGGTTGGAATTGTTAAAAAATACATACCTCATCTTTTGTAAAAGTTAATTTAGCATAAAAAGCGGATCCAACAGTTAGCAATAAACTGATGACAATATAGCTATTCAGTGTTGGTATTGGTGTGTGCCGAGCAAGTGCCAACAAGCCATCAAATGGATCGAATGCTATCAGTGGCATTCTTTCCTAAAAATTAAATAAATATATGTATATGTAAACAAGGAAAAAAAAAAATGAATCGACTAGATAAAACCAGTTATACTTGCGATGCGACATAGTTAGGTGAAAATACAATTTTTGTCTGAAAAGATGACACTTTAATGATTTTTATGATAAGAAGTTTTTATCATTTAACCAATTTTTATATCAAACAAATCACCAAATTTATAATTATGAATTATTAAAAATAATAACAATGAATAGTCAAAAGTTCATATACTTTTTTTTAAGTAAATCTAATCAAAGTAAATCGACAAATTAATTAACATATAGCAGTTTCGCATTTATACGTCTAATTCATACGAATTCTGCCTTTTAGCATAAAACTTGTATATAAAATAAATTAAAGCATCTTCTTTCTTTCCATAAAGAAAACCAAAGTTTTAAAAGTTTGATAAAACTAATAAAACAAAAAGGAAATTGCAAACAAAGAAAAAAATGAGTAATATTCAATTAAGTACAATTTAGTTATTTCCGACATTTTTCTTATAAACATAACTAAAAAATTAAGTAACATAGATGTGACTAAAAGTTTTCTTCGTAACGTAAACGTGATTGAAAGTTTTCTTCGTAACGTAAACGTGATTGAAAGTTTTCTTCGTAACGTAAACGTGATTGAAAGTTTTCTTCGTAACGTAAACGTGATTGAAAGTTTTCTTAATCAATCGATGTAAGCGTAACAAAAAATATATGAAAACGTATTAGGACCTACACGAATATATTCCATTTCTATTTTCCAATCGTAAATGAAAAAAGTAAGAAAATGGAAAAAAGATGAATTATTCTGAACAGTCATGAATTTATATATGTCTACACACATACATACATGCACACACATACACACACACACACATACACATACACATGCACACACGCACACACAGACACGCACACGCACAGGGAACGACGCACGTCCTCGGAATGATGATGCAAACAAGAAAGCCTTTAACTCCGAACTTTGCAAGGAAGCTGGTAGATTTGACGTAAACGGCGCTAATTCAAAATTCCAAAACTTACTGAAATAAGTAGTATTGGAGTATTTATAGAAATATTAAAGTGAATCGGAGAAAAGTTTATGGAAATATTTAAATTTTCAGAAATATCAAATGTAATATTTCTGGAAGTAAAAATAAAGTAAGAAAATATATGAATGAACAAAGAAATTTGAAATATTTGTTGAGGTACTGTTGTATGAATTTGATTGTAAACCGGAATTTTTGTTGTCTTTGTATTAACCGGATCAATGCAAATTATTGTGAAAACCTGAATGAAATAAACGGATCAATTTAAAGTAATTGAGAAGATGGATAAAAGAGAGAGAGAGGAAATGAAGTGAAAAAAAAATTGATTGATTGGTAAATTGATTGATCAATTGATTAATTGATCAGTTGATTGATTGGTTGATTGATAATGTTATCATAAATGTGTGTTAATTTCTTGAATAGACATACTTAGTCAATAAATTTCGGTTATATAATGAATGAATTCATTTTTCATTTTTTTTAAACTAAAATATTTGTTTATATAATTAATGTACGATTTATCGATGAGTAATCGATTTGATCTATGTAAATATAAATGTGAGAGTAAACATTTCTGATTAATGAATTAGTTTTTTTTCTTTTTTCTGTCTTTTTTTTCAAAAATTTAAATTATAAAAATGAAAATTTAAAATGAGAAAAATAGTAATTTTTCTCATTTTATTATAAGAATGTTTATGTTTAACTATTTAATTTTTTAAATTAAATATTAACTTCTATTCTAATTAATAAACTGTGATTGATGTCAATACAGTGATGTAATTAATTCAAATCATTTCATAAATATACCTTAACTATTTATCATATCTATTAAATGATATACTATACGGATTAAAAATTGCTGTAGGAAGCATTTATTAAAATTCTCGACAAAATCTTTAGTCTTGATCGGATAAAATTAAGAATATGAAATTTTGCTTATAAATGAAACTAATTATGTGTAATCTCATAAATGTGGGTGCATATTTGATTTGCTTAATTTTCTAAAATTCTATGTTCTTTTTGATATTTCTAAAATTATTTACTTCCAATTATAAATATGATAATATTTATAATTGGAAGTGATCTTATCTCAGATCTCAAAATAAAAAATTTATGATCAAATAATTCAGATGATATAACAGAAACAAAAAGTTCTTATAATTTTTGAATTTCCAGAAATGCTATTTATGTTATCGATTTTACTATGATTGTAATTATTCGCTTTTTTTTGAAAGAAAAATTATTTGATCATAAATTTTTCCCTTTCCCTTGAAGTATACTAGCATATTGATTATATGAAATATACGAAAATCTAAGAGTCAAAAAAAAAAAAACAAAGAATTCCTATTTGATTTCGTTTTTTTTTTTTTTTTTTTGGAAAAAAAATTTTGAGATTTTTTTACGAATTTCTTTTATTTTTCAATTGCTTAAAACGATAATGTTTAATGATATATGAGTCATCCGGTAAACCTGAATAACAGTTTCTTTCTTTCCAGTTTTCTCATCATTTAGAATTATATATCAATTTCAGCTAAAATTAATGAACAGCTGCTCATATTCTCACCATTTAGCTAAATCTGTATTTTCACATTTTTTTTCTTTTCTTTTCTTTTTTTTTTTTTTTTACAACTGATCGAGATCGGAAGATAAATACAATCCATAAACATTTACAAAAAATTTAAATTATTTCTCTTTCATCGATCCGTAATTGCTTTTGTTCCTTTAATCAAAATTTTTTTTTCAGATCATTCGAGATAATTTGAACTTTTTTTTTTATTTTTCACTAATTAGCTTTCCTCATAAAGTAACCGAATGAATAATTTTAAGTGCAAGTAGTTTTGACAGATTAATTTTTTAGGAATAATTTTGCTGGAAGAAGCGGAGCTTATCTCTCTTTAACATTAAAATAAGTTTAGTTTTTTGGCCATTAAAAAAAAATGTTTAATCCAATTACCATAATTATTTGATATAATTTTAAACCATATATTGAAATTTAGAAAAACAATTACCATAATTATTTGATATAATTTTAAACCATATACTGAAATTTAGAAAAAAAGTAATTTTACGATATTTAACACAGGAAAATCTGAATTTTTCAATTTATGTTTGAAAAGTTATTTTATAAGAAATGAAAATTTTAATAAATAAAAAGAAAAGATGGTTAAAGATTACAAATATCTGTTTGAAAATATTTATTTTGACGAAATAAATCGAAAAGAGCAGCTCAGTTACAACTCACAAATTACTAAATGAAAATTTCTAGAAACAACTAAAGTTTAATTTAAATTGAGGATTGGAATTTTTAATTTATTATTAGAATACTAATTTTGAAATGCTAAAAATTTCTGATATTTTCTTTGAATTGAGAACTGACAATTAACTTAAAATATGGAAAAGAATTGAAAAGCAGAATTATAAAATTATATAATCCTTTCATTTTTCATTAATTTTTCTTTTTCCAGGAAGAATAGTACTTGATAAATGGTTTTTTTGTTTTTTATATCATTTCAATTTATTATATTTGCTTTTTATTTTTCTGTAAAAATTAATACCTATTCAAACTAAAAATTACATGTCTAATGAACTTTCTAAAAATTTGATTGTTTTGAAAACCAAGATAATTTCAAAAAGAAAAAAAAAAAAAGAAAAAACTCTAAGCAAATCTAAGAAAAGATATTATTATTGTACGAATAAGTCTTACTTGATTGAAGTTATTAACAATGCAATATAAAATAGTGTTACTTTTATTGTTTTTGTTTATTCATTCATTCATTCATACATTTAAATTTAATTTTATGCTTTATGTTCACATTTTAAAATTTTTGGAAGTATTAACAAAGTGTTTATTTAATTGAAAAAAAAAAAGAGCTTTTTTTATTGTTTGGATCAGTTAGCCAATATCAAATACACTGTTTACATTTATTTAATTCTCTTCATCTTTCCTTTAAATTTTCAAAAAGATTAATTGTGCCACATTTATTATGAAAACGAAATTAACGAAACAAATAAATGTCATTGCAGGATGCTTTTCAAATATTTTTTTTTTTTTTTTCAAATACCAAGAACAGATGAATCCGCAACGACACCATCAGCAATGATCGAATGATCCGTATTATTTGTTCCCTAAAAAATCAATTTATCATTATCTAATCATCTAACAAGCTATAATTTAGCAAAAAAAAAAAAAACTCTTATTTTTAAATTATTTATTTTTTGAATTTTCAAGAAATATTTTTTGTGAAATAATATTTCATTTGAATATAATGTTAAAATTAGTAATTTAGAATAAGATTCATTCATTTTAACACAAATATGATCATTCACTTTAAATTTCTATGTTAAAATTAATGTTAGACGAGTGGTAATTTAATAAAATGAAATCATTTATATTGTTTTATATTTTTTGAAAGCTAAGATAATTTTTTGATAAATTCTTAAATTCGATTTGATAAAATGAATATAGAAAGATTAAACTGATAGAATCTTCTTGAATTTTAATGTAATAATTCGATGAAAATGACTTTTGATTTAAAGAATAGTTAATGGAATTTCATTTGCGATTTTACGCACTGTTGAAATCAAATTATTTTCAGTTCAAAATTAACAGATGGCGATGAGAGCAAAGTGATAGTAAAGAATACAGACGATGTAGGCACTCTTAAAGATAATTAATTAAATAATTACTATACAACGAATATTACTGTAGAACTCTGGTTAAATTATGATGATAGAAAAATTTAAATTAAATTATGGTAGAAAAATATTTCATACATTCTTGAGGAGCATAATTTTTTAAAAAAAATTCTTGATATTTTAAAAATTTGATAGAACTATTCATTTATAGCAATATCGATGAATAATCATAATGTGATAATCATGATAATTATTGTGATAATGATTATATTAGCAAATGTTTACTTGATTTGAAATTTTTTTCCAATGTTCTTTAGCGTTCAAATATTTTTTACATCGTAATACCAAATAAATAGCAAAACCTTGAGCTACTGTGAAACCAAGCTGTAATCAATTTAGTAAATTATATTTTGATATATACCACTAATTAACTGCGTTTTTCTTTTTTCTTTTTAAATGGCAAATAAATATCAGATATTAATCATTGCTATATGAAATGAAACATTTTTGTTTGAAGCATTTTAAACAATTTTTTCGAATAAATTGACAAGTAATTAGCATTAATTTATAACTAATAAACATAAATTAGCTTACCTGGAAAGCAATCCAACCAAAATCATAAAAAACTTGGCCATGAAGTAATTGTCGTGCATCCATTATGGTTGCAACAACGGTGATTGATGAAAAAATAACATTGAGAACAAAATTGGTGCAATAGAAGATAAGAAATGGTGTTAAGTACCTTTTGTTTTCTCGATGAATCCCGTAAAATAGTAAATAGTGGCAAGGTAAACCGAAGAATAGTGCAAATATCAAATCTACTAAAATTAATAATTGATAATTTAAAAAAAAAAAAAAAAGGAAACTTCGACATTTTTTTTTCAAAGAGAAATTGCAAAATTCTTTAAAATTTTCATTTGATATAAACCAATCAATATATTTTAACTTATTTGACTTCATCACATTTCATACTGCTTTTCCTGTCAAAGGCATCATTAGAAAAAAAAAATTAAAAAAAAAAAAAAAAAAAAAAATTAAAAAAAAAAAAAAAAGACGAAACGAAACTTTGACATATTGTCTATTTATCAAATGTTTAATTGAATTCAGTGAAAATAATAGATATTTTAACAACAAATTTTATTTTTTCTTTTTTTTTTTTTTTATAAATAAGAGAAATCAAAGAAAATCTGTAATTTTCTCATTCGCCAAATTTTTTTTGTTCTATTGAAATTTAAATTATCAAATCAAATTTTTAAACTGCCATATTAAATTCTTAAACTATCAAATTAAATTTTAAATTACCAAAAAAAAAAAAAAAAGAAAAGAGTAAAGATGTGTTTTTATAAAACTGGCCTAGTTCAAGATGATCGATGAAGTAATTCCTTCCTTGTCCTCGTTGATGATAAAATGTATAAATAATACAAAATGTGATTGTCACCATTAAACCAATTGTTGCTGCAATTGTTGCACCCAGTACGACATGAATATTGGTTCCAAACAGCATAAACTTAGAAGATTTCTCACGGAAAACAATAATATCCGTATCACCATTCCTGAATTTTCAATATCTTTCCGTGTATTACGTGTTTTCCGCATTTTTGAATAAGCACTTTTCTCGAATTGCCCTTAAATTGTTTCACTTTCCGGACAATGCCGTAATCCTAATGATGCTTAGTACTCCTCAAAATTTGTTGCATTTTTAAATTTTCTCTCTCAAAAAAAAAAAAAAAAAAAAAAAAAAAAGAAAAATTGAGAAGAGGAAGTGGAAAATGAAATTGTTCCTCGTCAACACATAAATCTCCTTAAAAAAAAAAAAAAAGAAAAAGAAATTCTATTTTTTTGAAATTTACTAATATAAAATATTGAAATGTTAACCGTACCTCGTTTCAAATTGAGAATAATCAACTTCATTGCCAACAATATCATTCCAAAATTTCTTTAAGCGTTCCATTTCTTACCTTAAAAGAAAACGATTTAAAATTTGCCAATTATCATTAGATTAGCTTTATGCCGCAATAACAAACAAAAAAAAAAAAAAAAATTAATTGCATAATATGATACAATAATTTAAATAAAAGTATAACAAAACAGTCCAAAACATGAGAAATCATCAAAAACTTCATGTAAGTTTTAACTTAAATCTTAATTTGCTTTTTCAATCAAAATAATTACATTTACAAATAATTAATCAAATAACTTTTCGCCTCTTTACAAAGCTTTATGCTTAATCAAAAAAAAAAAAAAAAAAACCCGATGAAATGATCATAGAAAAGAGGAAAAAAGTTGAAATCGTCATTTAAATTTTAAATTGTAATGCATTTTAGAATTTAAGATATGAGAAAACTATCCAAAACTTAAGCTAATTATAATTTTCCATATTATTAACACATTTGAAATTATCATTTCATTAAAAAAAAATCAATAATTGATTGAGTGTTTAAATGAAGTACATGAAGAAGAGATTTGATTGGTGAAGTTTTTAGAAGAAATATGTGAAACTACCAGTGTTACAACTGACTGCCCCAGAAAACAGAGAGAATTTTGATGAGAGGTTTGACACAGAAACAATCTATCCACCATACTAACATACCTTTCTATATCAATTTGTTCATTTGTTAGTTCCTCTTTCTTCTTCTTCTTCTTCCTCCTCTTCTTCATGTGAACAAAATGATTTATTATTAAATCAATTTCTCATCATCTTATATTAGCTTTTCTATTCCTATTCATTTTATTCTATTCTATTCTCATTTTTTTTTTATTCTTATCTTCTATTTCTACTCTATTCTCTTCTATTCTATATATTCTATTCCGTTATCTTTTATTCCATTCTATCCTATTCTCTTCTATTTTATACTATTAATCCATTCTATTTTATTCTATCTCATCAATTTCTATTCCTTTCCTATCTTTAAAAACTGGTCATTTCTTCCATTTGTGTAATATAAATTTATTCGGCGGTCAATGCAGCAATACTATCATTATGCCATGTGGTCATTTGAATATTAGATGACCATCTAAAATTTGTTTCCTTCATTCATTGTTGGTCATTTTTACAATTTCAATGATGAATAAATCAATCCATGGAGTTACGGAATTTTCATTACCAGAATAACAGCTATCAGTGGATGATAAATTGTAAAGAAAGCATAATTGATAAATGGAGTAATAATTGATCAGTGATAAATGAAGAAGTATAACTAAGAAATAAATAATAAATGATGCATAATCTTTTAAAGATATCTGTAGTGATTAATAGAACAAAATAAAAAATAACTTATTTTTGAAACCAATTACATATTGTATAAGCAAAGAATTGAATGGAATGCTTTTTTTGTTTGCAACAATTTTTCTTTTTATCAAAAAAAATATATGAAAATTTTTATCAGAAGTGAATTGATGAATTGGAAAATCATCCTATAATGTCATCAAATGTCACCTTTCTACCTCTCTCTCCCTCTCACTCCCTCTCTCTTTCTCTCTCCCTCTCTGTCAAACAATAAATATGAAATGATGCATGAACAGTTTTGGATGAATAATTTTTGAATAGTTGGAAGAAAATGTAACATAACAAACATCTTTCTGTCCCGTTCATCCATCCCATTCATCCATCAATCACATTGCATTACAGGAAAAAGTAAAGGAACTGATTTCTTTCATATCATTATTATCATTGTTATCATTGTTATCATTATCATATCGTTCCATCATATAATTTCTTCCTTTTCTTTTTTTTTTCGCCTTTTATCAAAATCTAATTGATAGGATAAGAGTTAGAAGCGATTTATTGCAAGAAATAATTGAGGAATATTTTTTCTTTTTTCATTTTGAAAAAATTTGTTTGATTAGGATCAAAATCAGGAATAGGATTGGAATCAAGAGTAGAATCAGGAACAAGTCTATTCGATAGTATAAATCTCTCGATAATATAGTATAAATATAAAATAATAATAAATTATATAAAAATATGCAAACGGATAAAAAGAAAAAAGTTTGAGATTAAAAGATAAACAAAAATTCTCATTGATAATATTAATTAATTAATTAATTAGTTTGCCATTACTGTTAATACTTACTTCTATTTACTAATTGTTGTTTGATGTATAATAAAAAAAAAAAAATCGATGGAAATAAATACTAAACTTAAAATGAAACAAACATTTCAGCATGGCTTCCTTTCCCTTTTTATCTTCCTCCTCCGCTCTCTTTCCCTTTTCTCCTCTTTTCCTCTCTCTCTCTCCCTCTCTTTTTCTCTGTATCATTTCTCTCACTGTTTTTGTTACATAACAAAATGTATTGAAATTCTTTATGATTTTAAAAAAGAAAATTGTTTGATTATTTGTATTTTCATAAAAATACACTCTTCAAAATAATTGCTAAAAGGCTAATTCAATTCAATTTCTTTCTTTCTTTTTTTCTAGCTCTAAGCTATAAATTGTTATCAATTATCAGTAAGTAGAATGGTAAATAAAGATAAAATTTTTGTTAGCTATTAAATACTACTACTGAAAATTTCTATTCTTATTTAATTGTATCAATTTTATGCAAATTAAACAAATAATATTAGTAAAAATTGCTTTTGGATTATTCTAATCATTAAAAAAAAGAATCGATGATCAATTTGAATAAATTACTTATCATTAATGATTTAATGAATAATAAATTGAAAATGAAACAGCTAATATTAATGTTTTTTTTTTCATCTAATTTTATTTTCATTTCAAAAATATGATCAATGATCATTTTTATCAATTTTCTTTGTTTATTTATTTCCAAACGGATAATAATAAAATAATAACAAATATTGATTGAAAAATTTTAAGAAATATTTCGATGGAAGAAATGACATCGTTGAATGATTGTGTAAAGAAATTGAGAAAAAAAAAAGAGAAAAATGAATAGTAACCTAATAAAATTACATATAAAAAGTATAATTGGATACAAAAAATGTTATTAAAAAATGAAGGCAAAGAAAGAAGGTAAAAACATTTAAAATTAAACAAAAAAAAAAAAAAAGAAAAGAAAAGGAGAGAGAATGAATTGTATTGGGAACAGTGAATGTCGAAAAATGAAATGAACCTTAAATGAATTGTTGAAATTAATAAAAGAATTAAAAAGAAAAAAGGAAACGAAATGAACAGATAAGGAGGTTAATAGATGATGAAGAGAAAGGGAGAGAGAGGGAGAGAGAGAGCGGGAGAGAGAGAAATGTGAAATGACCTTGAATTAGTTAACAACAGGATTCAATCAGATCCAGTAACTAGGCGACAACAACGACAATCACAACCACAACAACAACAACAACAGCAACCGCAACAACAACAACGATAGCAAAGGGATAACTAGTAACTAATGCTTGTAGAAATTTAAAATTAAATGAGAAACGATTATGACAATCAGTGTTGATAAACAAACAAATTGATATTTCATATTTACATATATGTATATATTTGTATGAGAATTATTTATTAATTTATGCATCTATGAGATAATAAAATATTTTATTGATAGTAAATTAAAAAAAAAAAAAAGAAAAACTTATTACAAAAATTAGTTTTGAAAAAATTTGATAAAAAACGGTGCTATTTATATTTTTAGCTCATCATATGATACATATGTTATGCTATGTTAAGCTAACTTTTTACGTAATAAAATTTTATTTAATGTCTATTTTACGAGTGGTATTTTTCAAATTTTAATGCAATCATTGAATTCAATTTTTGATCTGTTTCAATCTTATCAATTTGATAAAAACTGTTTTTCTTTTCCTCTTTTCCTTTTTTTTTTTTTTGAAAATAGTGAATTTTTCAAAAGCTGAAAGATTAAAAATTATTTATGATAACCTATCACACTTATCACCATCTTCACTTGCAATATTGAATGTCCGATATTTGTGAATAAAATTTCATTTCATGACATCATGTGCAGGTTATAATCTCACAAATATCGTCATGGTGTGCTCGAAGAGTCGAAGGAGAGAAAGATTAAAATGTAAGTCTCAGCGAAAGGGTAAATAACTTCGGGTAAATAATAAACTTAAATTTGCATGGAAGGAAGGAATGGTTTATTTCAATTCATTCATATTAACCATTGTGCTATGTTGCAAGTCGACATAGCAAATGTACTCTTATCTTTATCATAATAATTTAATAATATACTAAAAATTTGTCAACAACATTTGTAGTAAACAAACAAATAACATCGACAATAATTATTGAATTATTTATTTAAAAATTTTCACTGTAAAACTAATATTTAATGATAATAATGTTAAAATGTGTAACAAGATAAAAAGAAGAGATAAAATATTGTATACTATAAATATATTAAAAATATGTATGTATATTTGCCAAACCGGAAAGTGTTTTCCGGACAGTTTTTAAAATTTGACATTATTTCTCTTTTGATTATTTCGATTTGCAGTATTTGTTTTTACAAAGTTATCAGTGTGTGAAAAATGAAAAAAATTATCGTCGAACATTTTTTTTTTTTTTTTTTTTGGAGAAAAAATTTATTAGGATTTTTTACAGTTTAATGTTAGAAATCATATTGAAAATAAACAAAATGCATCAAATTTCTAAATGATAGATTTACTTATTTGAAATATTGTTTTTTTCAATTGATATCTTATCACTTTAGTAAACATTATTATTTCATTTGGATTAGATTTATTTGATTGGAATTTATCAAATCATTCATTGATCTTTAATTCATTTTTTTTCTAACTAAAATCACTAATTTTTGCAAAAAAAAAGGATTGTAAAGCGGTTTAAATTAATTTAATGCATAGATAATAATATGAATATTTCTCATTTCAAATGATATTATTATCATTACTTAACATTTGAATGTCTCATTGTCTCGGTGTCACATCTATTGAACACAATCATTTGACATTTGTGAAAATAAAATGATACGAAAACTATCGTTGCATGTGCTTAATAATTGAAATAA